CATGTACTGTTATTCTAAATTAAGACCCGCAGTGTATAGCACTTTCATATATTATAAAAGATATAAGAATATATATACAGCGTACAAATATATGATATGGTTGAGATGAATTAATGCCGTGTGGGGGGCGGGGGATATGTTTTGGGAGCTAATAAGGTGAGGAGAGATTACAAAAAAGTAAGGATAAATTAAAATGCCTGAGTATCCTTAAAACTGAGTTACAGGACCGGTTGATTTTGAGAATTGTATGTGTTTAAAATACGTGTCTGTTGCTAGCTAGGAAATTTAAACTCACATTGTCATGATCTTGCTGGGAGCTTGGAGATATTAATGCTAAATGATCGCTCTTGGACCGTTTGTGTCCAAGTTGGATTGGTTGGATTGTCCGTTTGAGTTTGTGACTTGGAGCGTTTTAGAAATGTCATTTGTCGGTCCAAACTCTATTATCTGTTCAATTGATGTGAATAGGAGATAGATGGTTTCATTCATTCATAGGCTTAATAAGCGATCTTTGGTTATACACAATAAATATTACCTACAAATAACCCATCTTTGGCTGGGGGGGCCCCCCTAACACTTTTTCTCACAACTTATTTAGTTTTTTAACTAATTACAACAAAATAATTGGAGAAAAATAATTAGGCAAAGAATAAAGTTTACATGTGGATAAATGGGCATAATAAGGGTGTATTAATTGGACCTTCTACATATTACCTCTAAATATGTGACATGATTGAAGGGTACAAGTAGATTAACGGCATATAGGGGTAACAATAGGGGTATATATTAAAACAATAGATAAGTTATATAATTTATTTAGGAATGACATGGTCAAATACAGGTGTGTGTGAACATTGTGTTATTTCTGGCCTCCTGGCCAGATATGTATAGGCCTTCTGCACTTTATTTAATTTCTTAGTGACAGTTAATGACTGGCTTAACTTGGGTGAAAATAAACAAGTAATGCAGTATAGGCATTCATTCATTAAGTTTAATTAGTTATTTGGCGAACATGAGCTTTCTTTGAAAATGGGAATAAATATGAAATAGGGTCAAATCACTGAAAAGGAGATTATATATATGATAACTGAAAATGGACTAATTGAGGGATGATTAAGACAGACTGATGACGTACTTGAACATTAAGGATGGATAGAACCGCACGTCACCAAGACAGCTAAATACGACGACGATGCACCAGACATCAATAGTAAGGCAGACACACTAGCAAAAACTGCCACTGTTCTTCCTGTTGTAGAGGTTAAAATACCTCTAGGTTTTTCACAGATTAAGGAGCAAATCAAGAAGAAAATACTCCCAACTATCAAAAGTTGCCACAGGGCCAAATTGGCGGAAGGAAGATCAACTGCCATGTGGTACGAACAAGCCACTGGGTACTATTTGTGGGAACCGACCTGTGAGATTAAATATTTATTTAATTTATTTGAATTTATATAGAATTTATATTTACGTTAGTTTATATATTTCGATAGCAATTTGTATGATGTTAAGTGGACTGTATTTCTGCAATAATCTCACAAATCGATCCATACACATTAGGGGGGTTTATATTGAATTTATATATATGCAGCCAATCAAACTACAGTATTAAACTACATATATTAGTATACTTTGAAGAGGTTCCTTATTTTATTGTACAGCCAGCTTAGTCCGCCAGATATAACTTGGATGTAGACACCAAATTATCCTCTTTGAGGCTGCTTCCATCACCCAGTAACTGATATACCAAGCCTGCTTCCTCTTTTTGTTCCTGTCAAAGGGCGCTCGCTCGCTGTAAAGCCAGAATCCTGACAGGTATATCAGAGAAAACACTGTATAATGATTCAGATAAGGACCAAGGCCTAATTACCTTTTTCGAGTCGATCATTTGTGTTCTCACCGGTTCGCCCAATATCTACCTAACATTAATGGCCAAAAATGATTAGATAAACGGGTTTCGGAAAAACACTTCCCTTGTGGTTGATGACAGTGTGTTGATGATGGAAGACCTTTGGTTTCCATAACACTTCGTCCAAGAGAATTTATAGGAGCCGTAATTTGCCCCACGACTCTCAGGTCTTAACAACAATGGATGACCACTCCTTCTTCACTGACGCCTTCCTCACTTTGTAGAGATGTCAGTAACTGATAGAAGGGTCACATTTACTTTATTTTGATACTAAAAATTAAGTTAATTAAAATAAGATGTTTTTATGATGGTAAAAGTCCAAAGACTAATGTATTTAAGAATAATTCCCAACACAATAGCTGGTGAATATATAATAGTATGTGGCAATGATATCCCATTTTCAATTGATGGAAAATTCCACTACAAGCTACATTTTCTATTGGTTAACTTGTTTATACAACACAGCAGCAATATTATCTGCAATTGCATGTAATATTATTAAATGGTGTCGGATTTTCAGACACTATTCTTTCAAGCCTGACAAAAAGATATCCAGATGCATTGCAGTAGCCATACACAGACTCAGACTTGGTTACACGTGCTGCTGGGAGCAAACAAACCCAGTAGTTAAAGAGTGTTATATTTGTGGAACGGAAACAGAGGTGCCACTATTGCACTACTTGAATGTGAGGCGACTGAAGCCCTGCACATACAACTCAACATTAATCCAACGACAGCAGCTGCATTAGATGCAAATTCAACAGCGACTACAATGATTAGAACAGCCGTTGAAGAATGGGACACACTTGTGAACATTTTGCATCTACATCCGCCACCAAGATAATGTTATTAAAACAAGACTAAAACCAGTGCACTGAAATAGAAGCGAAAAAGAAACAGGAAAAAAGAAGGAAACCTCACCTCCATTTAAAACTTTGATCCAAATATCAGAGTAACAAGGTTATCGTGAATACCGAACTCAATTACGGACTCGCTATAGCCTTGGCTACATGAACGTTGCGTTCTGAGTAGCTAAATCTAAAACAACAACCCCATCAGTCACCGAGGTAACTAAAAACGACCTGAACTACGAGGAGTCACCTAAAAAAATTATTGTTCATAGTCCTGGTTCATACAACTCTAATGAATGGTAAGAAAGGTGGTGAAGGGTAAGAAAGGTGGTGAAGGGTAAGGAAGGTGGTGAAGGGTAAGAAAGGTGGTGAAGGGTAAGGAAGGTGGTGAAGGGTAAGGAAGGTGTTATATACTTTAAGGTCATTTAGGTAACTATTAAAAAATCGCGAAGGTTTAGGTGATCCATGATACTACTAATCAATGAAACACGTAAGACGGCTTATGTCAAGGAACATTTAATAAAATATCATTATTCTATATCCATCAAGAATATCTAAATCGATTGAAGAATATTAACCAGATTAAAGGCGTTCACTTTGGACTATGAGTACTTGCCCTGGACGGTTATCACATGTTCTCGGTTTATGATGTTTTCATAACCTCGTCTCTGAGTCCGTCTGTAACATTTTATTCACTGGGTAATGCAGACTGTGATTATAAACGTCTACTACTTGCGTCGAATGTAGGTAAAGAAGGAAATAGGCTGCTAAATCGGCATTCACTTTAATGGGATGTTGCCTTTTAGGAACGCACGCTCGGGCTTCCTTACAGCGAGGTGTTCTCTGTCTTCTGCCAGAAGTTATCGAAAGTACAGATCCCTGTTCATACCACCGTTTGATCCACCTGTACACCGTGGACAAGCTGGACCTCGTAGCCAAGGATATATCTCTTGGTGACATCCCATGCAGCCAGAGACATACTATCCTGGTGCGGTTAATGATCAGCAGAGGATTGGTGATGAGTGGTCGCTGCATCGTGGACGGATCTGTCAAGCAAAACGTTATATAGAAGGGACGTAACACACTGTCCGTATGAATGTAAACTGTGTGTGCTAGGGGGTTTCCGTGAAATTAGAACTCATCCAACCTTACACGTACTTTAACAACCCAATGTATCTTCTTGTATACGGATGAATGAACAAATGAAATAAGTGCTAAATCTTTTGAAATATTCATAGTTCTTAGAATCTGTCAGTTTATTGCACAATGCTCAGTAAACCAGTGAACGCACACAATTAAAGTACCGCTGGAGTTTACATATGTCTAGGTAAGTCACGCTATATACAGGCTGGGTTCTGTAAAAATTATTAGTATCCAATAACCTATATCAGCAAAAATATCTCAACATTTTATGACATTTTTCACTAGAAAATTCAACGGTAATTTTACAAACGAAAACTAAATTAAAAAATTTTGATTCTGATGTGGAAAATATCGGCCACACCGATAATGTTAAAAGTAATACTAATTATATTGAACGTTTTCAAATGTTTTCACATAACTTGTCAAGTGATGTGTTACACTCTGCAATATAATCAGTTCATCAACAATACGAAACAAAAATTCTTAAAATTGATATTATGCAAGTTATTTTTTACCAGATAATTTTAATTGGTTGAAAAGAAAATAATGAATTTTGTATTTTAGGAATAAAGTCTGTAAACAAATTGGGTATTTAGAAAATAATTAAAATAATATTAATAATTACGTTCATAGTGTAGAGACAGACAGACTGACAGAGAGAAAGACAGAGAGACCGACAGAGAGAAAGACAGAGAGAATGGTAGAGAGACAGACAAAGATACTGAAAGATATAAAGGAAGAAAGAGAAACAGAAAAACAGACTGAATGACATACTGTCTGACAGACAGACAGATACTGAGAGGCAACAGTAGTAATAACCCAGAGAAGGAAGTGCACAACAACACCCTTAGTAATAAACTGTATCTTCTAAGTATCGTCTGTAAATGACACTATTCAATTTAGTCACGCTTAACACTCTAAAGTGTAAATGAATCGTATACAGTCATCAGTTCTAAAATATCCACATTTATTCCTCATGATCATGTGAAATAGGTTAAATACCACTTCGTTCCCTCCACAACAGCTCTCGGGTGAGACATAAAGGACTGACACATGATTATCATTATAACAGTATTCAACAGGAGTATCGAACTTACCAGTGTGGAGGAAGCAGGGACGGCGGCTGGAGACCAAATGACAACACTAGGAGCTGACTCAGGTATTTATAGGCGGGAGTCTGCGCGGGGGACGATGCGCACTGACTGTCTTGTTCATGCCCTCACCTGCACCTCAACACCTCCCTGCCCTCACCTGCACCTCAACACCTTCCTGCCCTCACCTGTAACTCAACACCTTCCTGCCCTCACCTGCACCTCAACACCTCCCTGCCCTCACCTGCACCTCAACACCTCCCTGCCCTCACCTGCACCTCAACACCTCCCTGCCCTCACCTGCACCTCAACACCTTCCTGCCCGCACCTGCACCTCAACACCTCCCTGCCCTCACCTGCACCTCAACACCTCCCTGCCCTCACCTGCACCTCAACACCTCCCTGCCCTCATCCGCACCTCAACACCTCCCTGCCCTCACCTGCACCTCAACACCTCCCTGCCCTCATCCGCACCTCAACACCTCCTGCCCTCACCTGCACCTCAACACCTCCCTGCCCTCACCTGCACCTCAACACCTCCCTGCCCTCACCTGCACCTCAACACCTCCCTGCCCTCACCTGCACCTCAACACTTCCCTGCCCTCACCTGCACCTCAACACCTCCCTGCCCTCACCTGCACCTCAGTACTTCCCTGCCCTCACCTGCACCTCAACACCTCCCTGCCCTCACCTGCACCTCAACACCTCCCTGCCCTCATCCGCACCTCAACACCTCAACAGAAACATTAAAAATAAAAACAATGTCACAGTTAAAACCGTCAAAAACAAAAAAATAATCAAATAGATGAACACTACCTCTCAAGGTCCAAGTGTTCCACTTCACACCTGTGGCAATTACACGCCACAGCATGTAACCGGCTCCTTAAAATCTAAAGAAAATACACAAAACTTATTTTTATTACAAAAAAATCAATGTCCACGGATATGTCTCTTAACTAACAAAAATTCACAGGAATTAAGTTTCTGAAACTCCTAATACCCCAGAGTTCTTACTCAAGTCCACTGCAACAGCAGGTGAACACATTTTTCAGACTCTGCACAACACCACAGTTCAATATGTAATAAATTCAATAAGTCAATAAGTTTTCACAAAAAAAAATATATGCATATCAATTTCTAGGATCTAGTAAAAATCTAGATAAAGTTCCACAACTTTTCCACGTTTCTAGAGAACCTACTGGATGGTTCCCGAAGCAATTCAGTCATAACAAGCTTTTCTAGAGACAGGGTTAGTTTCTAGTAACAGTTTTCTAGATGTTCAATAGATTTATTTATCTATTCCACCCATAATTCTAGTTTTCCACATTTAACACTGTCCCTGAGTCACTTTCCTAAGGTATTAAGATATTTTACTATAAGATGGAAAATTGAAAGTTTAACTACTGTTCGGAGTTAACACAATTTAACATTTAATTTAATTTATTTTTGTGAAACATTTTCCATTAAGATTTTCTATAGTTCTCTCATTGCCGACATCTTGTTGAGCTGTAGATTTCGGCTACTACCTCCTGTTGCTTGAAGATCCTGGTCTTCTGGAAGTTCCATTTCCGGCCACTGCCAAACCATAGAAAGTACAGGGTCTCGTATTTTCCTCACCTGACAGCGCTGAGTGACAGCTGGCTGGCTTTCGTCTCAGGTGAACCCCGCTAACAGGAACCCGGGTATACCTCTTCTCCTCGCTCACAACAGTCATGATGGAAGGTCGTTAACTATGGCTGCCACAATAGAACAGAGTTTCGACGTGTCACGGTGTCTCACGTTTGGAGTGAGTGTCGAGTGACATTGAAGAGGATGGATGATGACAGGACAGGTGAGCCCTACCTTTGCTCCTGGGCGACGTCTTCTCCCGGCGTTTACTTGTTATCCCAATACTATTGGGACGGTACACCTTCCGTGCAACCCTGACATGCGAGGGCACTTAATTCTTTTCTTAAAAATACGAGTTAAAGTCCTATGATCTGTGTAAAGGACAAAGGGACGTTGGAAAAGATACGGCTCAAAGTATCTGACACTTTCTACTACAGCCAAAGTCTCCCGGTCCATTGCAGAATAGTGGACCTCCGGCTCCTTAACCTTCCTGCTAATATAGGCTACTGGGTGAGGAAGATTGACATTATCGCGTTGCATTAAACACCCACCAATTTCTATGCCACTGGCGTCTGTGTGTACGTCCCACTCCTTATCAAAAGCAGGTACTGCTAATACTGGGGTGGTAATGAGTTGACTTTTTCATTTTACATAAGCAGTATCATGCTCTGGTTTCCAAATGAATTTATTGTTTTAGTCAGCTCAATTAAGGGAGCTGATGTACTAGCAAAACACTCAATATGGCTATTATAAGGAGGGAAGTGGAGCTCCTCCTAGAGCATGATCTAATTAAACCTAGTCAAAGTTCCTGGTGCTTGCCCTGCCTGTTAGTTACTGAACCGAATGGGAAGTGGCGCCTGTGTACTGACTAAAGGGAATTGAATAAGGTAACTGAAGTAGATATTTTCCCCTTACCTTTGCTTGACGATTGTATTGACCAGCTTGGTTACCGTCAATTTATTTCAAAACTCGATTTGTCAAAACGTTATCAAGTGCCCTTGTCAGATCGAGCCAGTGAAATGTTAGCATTTGTTACACCTGACGGTGTTTTCCAGTGTAACGTCATGCCTTTTCGTCTTATGAATGCATCAGCAACATTCAAAAGATTAATGAATTGCTGTTGCAGGATATTCCCAATTGCCGTGCATACATAGACGACATTTTTTATTCAGTGTCTCCTGATAAAACCATTTACAAGGTTTGAAATTGTGTTTGCCACTTTGAAGAATGCTAAATTTACTGTAAACACACAGAAATTATATTTTGCCGGAGGTACTATTTTCTATCAAAAGTACAAGGTTGGTCAAGGTAAGGTGATGCCTTTACAGGATAAAATTAGTGCCATTGTTACCTACCCTATCTTGACCAACTAGAAACAGGTACAGCGCTTCTTGGGGATGAGTGCCAACTATCGTTGGTATTGTAAAGGCTTTTCTATGGTAGCTTTACGTCTGACTGATTTTTTGCAGCAGATGAGTAGGTTTAAGTGGACTACCCAGTGTCAAGAAGCCTTTGATGGTCTAAATAAACATTTTGTAATGTATTTAGATGCTTCCGATTTGGGTGCAAGTGCTGTCTTACTCTAAGTTGGACTTGATGGTATAGATTTAGGTTCGGTCATATATCTACGTAATTTTAACTCCAATAAAAAAAATTACCTCATACATAATGAAATGGGTTGCTTTATCATTTCATAAGAAAAAAATTAGAGGAAATATATTAATCAGGAAAACTTGGCTTATTAGGCAAATCGGGCATTGCATAGTAGGCTGAGAAGTGCGTTCTGGCTACTAGGTACGACATATATATATATATATATATATATATATATATATATATATATATATATATATATATATATATATATATATATATATATATATATATATATATATATATATATATATATATATATATATATATATATTGACATTGACATTGACATTGCAGCTGCGACAATATGGTTACTGCACGTCTATAATGCAGAATAAGTATTCAAAATTATATGTGTTGTCTTTTAGGTCAGTGTGACTTTTTACTTGGGCCGGGAGGGGTTCCTGCCGCTTATGTACTCTTTAGCTTTCTCTAAGGGCAACTGTCTCGTGCCCGTCTTCAGCAAAAGGTAAAAAAAAACACAATTTCAGCCGACTAATGAGAATACAGGGCAATATTTCAAAGTCCCTCTCTATTAGGAAAATCCTTGCATTACTTAATTCTTCATGGAATTTTAACTCTAATACCTCTCACTACTTGGGGTCCCTAATGCCTCTGCCTGAAACTTTTACGTCAACAAAAAATATTAGAAACAGCATTATAATTTTCCTGGAACATTCCGATAGTTGTTTGTTTGAAATTTTGACAAAATATTATGAAATATATTTCATTTCCAGTTAATATATTCATGTTTAATATGTATTTTATTTAAATGTATGTTATACATATTTTTGGATTATATATAAAATATAATGTTGAGAGAGTTTATAATATTTATTACACCCATAAGGATCACGATGATGCTTGAATCCGGACTGTACAATCATTGGGTAAAAACAACAATACCAAACTTTACTGCCTGTGACAACCTTCCAACCAAGATAGTAATCCAGACTTCACTGTCAGTTGCTGACATATGGGTAATATACCTCTCATTATTACGATACTTCTGACTCTGTGACTTTCAGGTTTTATGTAATTTATTGAAATGAGTAAACTTTTCCAGTCAGCTCTAAAAGAGTTAACAGGTTGTTATAATATCCTAAATAATGAAACTCTCTCTCAGGGAATGTTCTTCCTGTTGTCTTGTGGCCTCGCTCTCAGTCTGCTCATCCTGTGCCTGGAGCTCCTGTATAACCATGTTCACCAGTGACACAAGAATGTTCTTGTTGTGCCTGGAGCTTCTGTATAACCATGTTCACCAGTGACCAACGAATGTTCATGTTGTGCCTGGAGCTCCTGTATAACCATGTTCACCAGTGACACAAGAATGTTCATCTTGTGCCTGGAGCTCCTGTATAACCATGTTCACCAGCGGCAAAAGAATGCTCGTACAGGAGCTCCTGTACCTTGAGCTCCTGTATAACCATGCAATTCTCCCAAACAAACTCTTCATATTTATTAGCCCAGCACCTCTTGTGCATAATAAAAGAATCACAATAATAATTATTTCATTTTCAAGTTCGAGTCACTTCTGGGGTGTGAGTTTTCAGCTGCATATAGTCCTGGGGACCATTCAGGCTTGTTCGCATTTGTGTTCCTAACGCGTGTCCCAAAGAATGAGGTGATTTGATAAAATACTATGCCCAAGATTACCAGCCGAGTGCCGGTGGGTGATGGAAATAGCCTCGGTTACCATTCCCTTCTGTCCGGTTGAGTTGGTCGAGTGGTTAAGGTGTTCTGTACGCCAGCAGAGTGCTCCTGGCAGTATG